TTTATTTGTTTTAGAAGCGCTAACAAATTCCTCATAAAGTTCATGAAGTGCTTCTTGCATTTCTTCAAAAGTATAAGAGTCGGAAGAAATGTTACATACCTCTTGGACGTCGTCGCTTTGATCTTCGTGCGCCATGAGGCAGAGATTTGCAGCTTCGTCCTCCTCTTGGTCGGTTGATTCGTCGCCGGAATCGCCACCCCAAGAGATGTAGGCCCTTTGCTTCTTGAAGCAAGGCTTGTCCTTCCCGTGTTTGGCTTTTGGGCACCTTGGCTTGATGTGGCCAATCTCGCCACAGCCGTAGCACTTGGGAGGGCCGTCGTGCTTCCTTCACTTCTGCTCAAATTCCTTCTTCATTAACTATGAATAATTGAAGAATGATTTGCAATGAAAGAGTAGGAGTTGTGAAGTAATGTGATGTGTAAAACAGACCCAAACACCCCATTTGATAGTAGAAAAATAGGCTCCAACGGACCAAAGTATTTAAAGGGTGATTGGCGCAATTTGTGGGATTTGATAAAATTTGGATCTGCTGAAATTCACCCCGACAGCGCTGTCCTAGGCCTGGACATCGCTGTTCTAGGCTTGCATTTTGAAAAATGGGAAGCAACGGTCATGCCAACAGCGATGTCTAAAATCCCTACATCGCTGTTTTGGCTGTTGACTTCCAAACAAGGAAAGTTTTAGCCTTAAATTCCTTCCAACGGTCAGGTCTCTACATCGATGTTGCATACTAGAACATCGCTGTTTAGGTCTGCCTTTGAAGATGGAAGTTTGGCCTGACAGCGCTGTTGCTGGGTCAACATCGCTGTCCAAAAACTTTCTACCAATGCACTATATTTTTGGCTTAGGTTGGACAGCGCTGTAGGGAAGCCTACATCGCTGTTCCAGAAGTTTCTGAAAATCGAACCTTGGCTCAACAGCGATGTCTAGTGTCCAACATCGCTGTTGGAAGACTTAACGCCAAACCATGTCTTTAGCTACCCAGGCCAGACAGCGCTGTTGATTACCTCAACATCGCTGTTGGGCTGGTTTAGCCAGACCCATGGTTGGTTTAGTCACGCCGTTAGCCGATGTCAAAAACGCTAAGTTCTCCAAAATAAAAACCAAGTTTAGAAAACATTTGTTTATTGCATTTTGCTAAGAAATCAAGTAAAACATCTTAAAAACCATGTCATTTAGTTGAAAACGGCTAGTCAAGTTCGCGCCGTTTCGCATGGTTTTCACTAAACGACCAAAAACGGAAGGTGGTTTTTGAGGCGTTTTTGTTGGAGAACTATTTAAATATGCCCAGAAGTAAAAACTAGTCATAAAATGTTGAAAACCACTTGGTTGGTTCGGACGCCAAAAACCGATGCCGAAAACCAAGAGCCGAACGCCGGTTTCTGAAAACCGAACGCCAGATGGCTTGGTTTTTGGTTTGGGCGAACTCCAAGTGTTTTTAGCCAAGTTTAAAACTTAAGAAAAATATTTTTGAATATGCAAAAGAGATTTTTATGAATTGAGCCTAGAGAGCCAAGATTTGGAACTTTGTGCCGATCTTGATCACATTAAGACCGACTTTGGTTCTCAAATCATCATGCCATGTTCCTTCGCCTTAGTTTTGCTCACTTTAGCTTTGATATGTCGCGGCGGTTTGGCATTATCAAAACCTGTTATAAAAACGAACACAGTTTAGTACGACGTAGGCGTAAACCCGTGTTCCAACACTCTCCCTTCCGGATCTTCACATTGAGCAAGTGCGAGAAGGGAAGTTTTTGCGTTCGGCTAGATGCGAAGTGCTCCAAGAATTTGTGGGCCAGGTCGCTCCACTTGTCTATCGATCCTTTGGGCAACTTGTGAAACCACTCACAAGCCTGCCCTTCTAATGTCGCCAGGAAGCATCGGCACTTGATTTCTTCCGGATACGCATACATGACCACGTTCGCCCCGAAGCGAGCAAGGTGGTCCTGGGGATCGGTCGTCCCGTTGTACGATTTGATTTGTGGGGTCTTGAAACTGTCCGGGAGGGGGCAAGACATTATCCTTCTGGAGAAGGGTGTTACCTCACTGAAGACCGCGTGGCGGTAGGGGTTTTGGGCGTCCAGCCGCTTCTCCAGTCGCTCATACATTCTCCATAGCTCGGCTGCTTCCTTATCCTCGACCGCCTTTCGTCGCTCCTCAGAACCGATCTTGGAGGTCGCTGTGGATTCTCCTCTCTTTTCCTTGAGCGTATCCCTCAGGTCGCCTTTACGGGCCGACCGGGTGTCCTGCAACCGTTCGAACGCGGAGGTCCGGGGCTTCTTTGATTTGGGATCTCCCAAGCGATCAAAAGCAGACATCCGCTCGAAAGAGGACGACTCGTCTTCCTCGTCCAATCTAGACAGCGCGTCTTCCATCACGGTCTTCCCATTAGGCTTGACCGCCTTCTTCTTCTGGGACCGCCTCACTTTCTTCTTTTTTCCTTGAGAGCCCACGGGTCCAGCCTTTCCGCCTCTGGGTCCTCCAACCACGTCTTCCACCACAATCTCGCGATCGGGCGCCAGTGCCGCCAGCACCTCCTTGAACTGCTCAGCCGTGATCCCGACCCTCTAGATGAGGGCCTCTGCCTCCCCCGTGGTGATAGAGGGGTGTCGGCCTCCAGTGGCGCTGTTTTCTCCCTGGGGGGAGCTCCGGTACCTGCGTTGGCGTTGCTACATGTTTGCACCATCGTCTCCGTGGAGGGTTTCCTTTGAGTATAATTCTCGAATTCTCAACGAGAGCACCAATTTGATGGACAATAAATCCACCAAATGATCCGATTCAGAGAACGGATCGTAAGAACAAAATTAAGAACGAGAATTCGAGAATTGAGTATGTATTATTAGCTTGATTTAGCTTGAGTTTCCCCTTTCGGGTTCCCTCTATTTATACATGGGCTCTAGACAATTAAGGTAATACATAATCAATGGAGTCTATCCCGTCAATGGCGCGATCCTCTTTTTCCGGCTTCATCTCCGTCATTCCATTCCGTCTCCTTCTCTGGATTGACTCTGCCAACCGTTCTTGGACTGGAATTGGCCGGGCTTAACTCCATGGGCCGGCCCAAGCCTGAGATGTTTTTATCTATAAAATAGTACTATTGCAATCATAGTTTTAAAAACATAACCGGACCGGCCGGTTTGGACCGGGAACCAGCGAACCGGTGACCACACCGGTCCAGTTCGGGCCAAAAGACCGGATCTGCAACGACCCGGTGTGAACCGGTAAAAACCGGTACGAACCGCCCGAAAAACCAGGAACCAGATTCTTTTTTTTAATTTGCGAAAATCCTCCAAAATGACACCATGCAAGGATTCAAACCCCAGATCTCCCAATATCTATATCCGCCTAACCACCACCTTAGCTAGAGTCCTCTTGTTTCATTTCTTGCATAAAGTAGAGATATATAAAATATATCCTGATAAAAATTCCTAAAATGATTGCTTTTCATAAAACATTAAAAAATATAATATTATAACTCAGATTTAAACTTTTAAGTACTACGTATTCTACAAATACATACTACCTCCGTTTCCTAGTATTTATCTAGTTTTGACTTTTTCGGTCAACTGTTTTCAACCTTTGACCTTTTAAATAAAATATACATTGTATTTTATTTAAATAAAATAATATTTTGAAAATATTTGATATAATAAATCTAATATAACTCTTTTTATATCAATATCTAATATCATTTTTATTTAATTTGAGGTTAAAGTTTACCAATTTTGACCAAAAAAATCAAAAGTGAAAAAATACTCAAAGACAAAGGGAGTAGTACATATCAATGATATATTTAAGTTAAATAAGGTTTGAAAACATTGAAAAAATTATTAAAAAATGAAAATAACCTTCTATTTTACGAGTATAAAATTTTCAATATAATTTTTAAATATTTCATAATATATAATTTTATCAATTTAATGCTACTATTCAAATTAATTAAATTGATTATAACTTTAGTCATATATCATAAATAACTTCATTATTTGTAGATTGAAGAAGTAGTTTTTGTTATATATATATATATATATATATACATATATATATATATACATATACATATATATATATATATATATATATATGTATATATATATTAAATTTTCAAAAATGTTTGAACCACTGGTTCAACCAGTGAACCAGTACCTCGACCGGTTCGATCGCCGGTCCGGTTCTGAAAACTATGATTGCAATATAATGTGACACTGTATATTGACATTTCATTGTAATTTTTGCATGTATTATATGTTGGTCGTATTGATATTATAGTTTTTATTTTGCATATAAAACATAAAAATATTCTATTTTGGTTATTGTCTTATATTTTATTTCTATTTTAATCTTTCTCTTTTTTCCCTTCAGAATCATTGTAGCACTTTTTTATTAATATTTTTTTTTTCAAAATTGATGCAGGGGAGAAGAATGGTTGTATTTTAATTGTTTTCAAATGAATATTTTCAATAATAGAGTCATAGGATCGCTAATCCAATATTTTATTTTTAAATAATACAGTAGAGATGAATCAATTTTTGTATTCAATGGGGTGGGGGGAATAATTTTTTTCGCTAATCTCAATTAATGTGGGTGAGAAAAATCATTTTTTTTAATTGTAGAATCATAATATTGGTAAATCAAGTTTTTTAAAATTTATGTTGCGGAAAAAATTCATAGAATCACTACTATTTTATGTATTTTTTAATTTATAGGGGAATAAAAATTATAGATTCATTTAAATTCAATAAACTTAAATCATTTATTTTTGATATATAAATGATATGTCTCATAAAAAAGTCATTTTAATACTCCATATTATAGAATCACAAACAATTTTGTACCATCCCCTGAGGTTAAAATAGGTTAAAATACTAGTAATGGGAAATGTTAAAGACCATAACAAGTGGCAAGAAACAGCTATATCCTCCTCTGACTTTCTCGGACCAGATCCCTATCTACAAGAGAAGAGAAAACCGCCCATGGAAATTCCATTCGGTGCTCTATCGATTTCAGAGAAGTAACAAGCATCTCCTGCTGCTCGCCCCGTCCTCTACTCCCCTAGTCCAATCTTTTTCGCAAATGTCCCTCCATCTAGCTGAAGACGAAACCATGGAGTGTTTGTCTTTATCGGTAAATTGATTGAACCATGTATCTTGTTTGTCTTTTCGGATTCTAGAACTTGACTATCCATCCTTTTTTTCCCTTTTGAGCTCGATTCCTGGAATTGAATCTCATTTCGGGTCACAATTTCAGGGGCTATTTTCATCTACTCTTGTTCCCCTTTTTCTATGAATAATTTTGGGTTTTGTTTTTTGTTGAGACCTATAAATGGTTTCGGATTCATTTCATTCGATTGAATTCATTTCAGCATAATTTCTGGCTATAATTGTTTAATTCCAGAAAATAATTATGAGTTTCTTTGTAAATTAGGGTTTCTTGGTTATGTTCACCCTAACTTCATACCTGTTTATCTGAAGTTCAAAAGATCGGAGTTTCTTTTTTTTTCCCACTATATCAAATTTAAGAATTAAAATTCATGTGGAGAATCCTTTGCTTTGGTCTGGTTAAGTGTAAGGTAGAGACCCAAGTTTTATGTAAATTTGGGCGTGTTTAGTTCAAGGAAAGCTATGGAGGATAATGCGATGAATCTTGATCTTAACCTGGGTCCCGTTGATCATCCAAACACTGATGTGGAGCGTGAACCTGGACTATTCTCCAGTAGAGATTCTAATTGGGAAGAGCTGGTCAGGGAGAGGAGACAATTTGGCACTGAACCATTCCCAATTGAGAATATTAATTTGGAAGAATTCCTAGACGGACCTGTTAGGGAAGCGGTAAGGCAGAGGAGGCAGAGGAGGCAACGGTGGCGGTCCATGCGGAGAGATCTTCCGGTACCACCGGAAACCAGAAGCATTGCATTGGAATGGTTAGGTGGGAGCAGATTGCAGGCCGGGGAGGCCAGTTTTGCTGCAGCAGAAGAGGAAGAGAGGCCGACCACTGCTGAAGTAACCAAAACATGTGAGAACAAATATCCGTGTTTGGACAATGAAACGTCTTCCAGAAAGAAAGAAGAAAATGAAAAGGGAAACGTAAACGAAGGTTGCTTCTTCGATTGCAACATATGCTTGGATTTGGCAAAGGAGCCTGTCGTCACTTGTTGTGGCCACTTGTTTTGCTGGCCTTGTCTTTATCAGTGGATACATGTCCATTCTGATGCAAAAGAGTGTCCTGTTTGCAAGGGGGAGGTGACGATGAAGAACGTGACTCCAATTTACGGGCGTGGGAGTGGGACCCGTGAGACTGAAGAGGACTCGTCCTTTGCACTCAAAGTCCCCCATAGACCTCAAGCACGCCGAGTCGAGAGTTGGAGACAAACCATCCAGAGGGCAGCATTCAGCATCCCAATGGATGAGATGATTAGGCGGCTGGGAAGTAGGTTTGATCTCGCACAGGTTCAGACTCAAAACCGGGATGGGTCCCAGGAATCTCCAGGGGATATTCTCAACAGGTTTTTTACCTCACGGGGACGCAGAGAGCATCATAATCCTCCCCACATCTCAGTGGATGACAGAGATTCTGGTTC